TCAGCAAGTAAACGTTGCCACTAAGAATGAAACCTCAGCGCAAGGTCGTGAGTTCGGTTCCCGGTACCGGAGAAAAACCAAAAAAAAAAAAAAAAAGAATGAAACCTCAGTACAGCACATATTAGCTGCCCCATATACAATTGCAAAACTTGTTGCCCTCATCCTCTATATTATATTCCTCCAATACGGAGAAGAAGGTCCTAAATTCCATTAGAATTTAGTCATGATGCGGGGGGGGGGGGGGAATAGAGGATTAACTTCCTCTATTTCTGCCTGTTCCTTTCTGCAATACAGTAGCTTAAAAACCATAAGGAGGAAGTACAAACTAAGACCACAGTAAGGCAGCATTAGATACTCCCCAGAGTGGCCAAAAAGGAAAAGACGGGAAAATCCCAAGCACCAGCAAGATTGAGGAGCAACCAGAATGTTCACAGGCTCCTGAAGGTAACATGAACGTCAGCTGACACAATCACTTAAACTGAACTGGCAACTAAAGCTGAATATATGAATGGCCTTTGTTCCAGCAATTGTACTCCTAGTTATATACCCACCTGAAATATGTCTACATATGCTCAGGAGGACATGTCCAAAAAGCTCACACTTGGTAATAGCCCCGAGCTGAAATTACCTGATGTCTGTGCTGTTAGAAGCCAAGGTGGTCGGTCTGGAGGAGGAGTAATAACTGGAGGGCAGCACGAGGAGGCTCATGAACGGCTCACTGTATCCTGTTTCTTATTTTTGGTGTTTTGTTTTGTTTTTGAGACAGGGTCTCGCTGTGTAGCCCAGGCTGGCCTTGAACTCTCGGCGATCCTCCTGCTTCAGCCTCCTGAGTGCTGGGATTACAGGAATGCACCACCAGGCCTGGCATGTATCCTGTTTCTTAATCCATGCTGACTGACACGTGCATTCAGATTACAAATTTGTGGGCTCTCTTCTGGATGCATAGTTGCCTCAATAAAAAGTTTGTGTTTTATTTATTTTTGTGGTACTGGGGATTGAACCCAGGGCTAGATCTCTGCCCTTTTCTGACTTTTTGTTTTTGTTTTTGTTTTGTTTTTGAGACAGGGTCCACTTAAGTCACTAATTTCCCCCCATGCTCAAATTTGTAATTCTTCTGCCTCAGCCTCCTAGAGTGCTGAGATTATAGTGTATGCGCTGTGCCTGGGGAAAAGTTTTTAAAATGGAAGCTGAGAACAGCGGTAACCTAAAGGCTAAAGTGTGAGGATCACTTGAGCCCAGAGTTGGGGACCAGCCTGGGTGACAGCAAGACAGGGTCTCAAAAAGGAAAAATAAAAAGATGGGCATGATGCCAAATGCCATACCTGCACTATGGGAGGCTGAGGCAGGAGGATCACAATTCCAGCCCAGGCTGGGCAATTTAGCATAGGTGTTATTTCAAAATAAAAAAAATTTTTAAAAACAGGCTTGAGGATTTCGCTCACTAGAAAGGCCCCAGGTTTAATCCCCAGTACAGAAAAAAAATCTAATGAGAATAAAAGTGAAAAGTGAAAAATTTACTAACCCAAGGGAGGGGCAATGAAAAGACATAACAGCAGATCAAACTGTCAATAACATAATAGAAGAGTTAAAAAAAAGGAAGGATCCAAATATACTCTCATTGGAGCAGGGCATGGTGGCGCACACCTGTAAAGAAATTAGATTAGAATCTCCCTGTGTACTAAACTAAAATCAAAATGCATCAAAGATCTTAATGTAAAAACAGACACAATCTGCTGGAAGATAAAATAGGTACAACTGTTGAAGACAGGCATAGGCAAGGGCTTTCTGAACAGAATCCAGTGGCACAAGAAAAAATATCACGAATCAACAAATAGGTTCACATCAAATTAAACAGCTTCTGCACAGCAAAGGGAACAACCAACACACTGAAGAGACAGTCCACAGAATGGGGTGAAGGGATGAGGAGCCCGGGGCTCAGGGGGTCAAAGAGTGAACAAGGCTCCATACTTCTGGGAGGAAGAAGACATCTTCAGAAGCAAGACTCTGGGGAGAAAGAAGTATTAAAAGCGTTAAGGAGCTGAGTTTAAGTCCTTTGTTGTGGAGTGTGTGTTATGTTACCAGATCTTCTGTCTGCCACAGGTAAGTTTCAAAAACTTTGTTTTAAATTATAAAAAGAAGAAAAGGGCCGGGGATGTAGCTCAGCAGCATAAGCGCTTGCCTGGCAAGCCTAAGGTCTTGAGTTCGATTCCCAATACCAAAAAAATAAAAAGAAGAAAAAAAAAATAAAACAATTTCAAAAAAGTACCTATCATCCTTCTAACACTTTCATTCCAGGAGATCCTTTGGAGGAGTCTAAATAGAGGGTGAATTCTGCATCCAGGTTTGCAAGAGGACAGAACAAAGGTTGTCTGTAGGACTGCTGGAGCTGGAGGGTAGAGGTGGCCAGCTGATGTCTAGCTCATAGAAGAAAGGAGCTAAAAGAGACTTCCGGTTACAGCTGGTGGACTGAACCACGTACAACTGCACTTCCTCCCCAAATCCCCCTAAAACAATGGTAAAAGTGCATTAAAATATAGAACTTCAAGGTCAAAAAGATATAGAAAAACAATGTGAGAACAAAGGCTATTTATTCAGGTGTGGTATAGCAAGGGGTCAGCTACCATACTTCTAGGCAGGCTCGAAGGCAGGCAGGGGAGTGGGAATGCTTTATTGTGAAAAGAAAGGAAGGATCCAAATATACTCTCATTGGAGCCGGGCGTGGTGGCGCATGCCTGCAATCCCAACACTCGGGAGGCTGAGACAGGAGGATCACTGCGAGTTTGAGACCAGCCTGGGCTACAAAGTGAGCTCAAGGCCAGCCTGAACTGCATAGCAAGACCCTGTCTCAAAAAGAAAAACAAAACAAAACAAAAAAAACCTCTGATTGGAGATCATTATTGGGGAAAGTTGGAGCTGGGGCTAACAAGAAGCTAGGCTCCTTGTACAATTATTAGCTACTGTAATTGCTAATACTATAGTTGGTTTCCTCTGATTGATCATGAGTTGGAAGTGGAGGCAAAATACAGGGAAACTGACTCATTGACCAAGTCCTGACCTGCTGGCCAATTGCTACAGAGCTTGTGGGTCAGAGTTTTATTGTCAGACATGGTCTGGGTATTTTCTGCTTAATACTTAGTCTCCCAGAGACCCAGAGATCAAATCATTAACATTTTGAAAGCTGGGAAGCAGGAACAATACTGGAAACAGACTTAACAAACTTGTTATCTATCAAAGGCTCAGCCGAGAAGAGCAAGCCTGACCTGCCCCAGAGACCTCCACAGCCTCAAGAACTGGCAGCGTCGGATACCTCAGAAGCAGAGGGACTAAAGGAGGGGCTAAAATCAGGATGATTGATTCTGTCAGAACAAAGTTACCACAAATTTCGGTATAGATTTTTTTGACTTTTATTTGTGATTCATGAATTGGGGCAGCCTCTGTTCTACAGACTAGAATACGAATTCCCGCCGGGCCCTGGCAGAACAGTAGATTTTGTAAGGCGAGAACAAAAACCAGAAAAATAGAAAAAGCCTGATTGATTAACATCAGGTTGGTTTGTTAATGAGGGCTACAGCAGAGGGGATTTTCTTATTGTACTGTCCCAGATAGACTGAGATCTCCTGTTTTCAGGGGAAAACTGACCTATTTTGGGGATCTATCTGTACCCGCAAAGTTTCAGTGTGGTTACGTGGGATATAGCATGAGTGACTCTGTTTTAATTTGGTCTT